ATATATATATATATATATGGTAAAGAAAAGGAACCTTGGAATGACGCAGCGGATCATGTTTGGCATAAGATGGTCTAGGAGGCAAATCATGCACCCTGACAGGTTCGCTAACAATTGGCTCTATTTCTACATGGAGTTCGCGTTCAATTGATTTTCCGTTTGACAAAGATTCTTCGTCAGTATCATCCTCATTATCCTAGAAAAAACTTCTAACCTGTTTTTAAATACACATACAACTAGTGACTTAAATATTCCGGAAATTTTTATCCTACTTACGATAGAAAACTGCAAAAAAACAACAACTGAAGAACCTAAAAAGTGATTTAATAACAAAGATTAACTTCATCATCATCATCATCTTCACTGTCATCAACCGTGGGTTTGTTCTTATCGAATTTGATATTTGATTTCCTTTGCACAATTTTTTCTATCGCAACTTTTCTCATATCTTCTTTCGATTGCTTTTTGATTTCAGCATTTGCATCATCATCATCATTTTCATTTTCCTCATCATCTTCATCCGAATCAGTGAGTATTTTCATCGACTATAATGTTAGAGTAATCATGAGCACTACTAATATTTCCAGAACGCAAGAACCATAGTAATCATATGAGCTTTACGCACGACTTTGTCAAATGACAGAGTCAAAAGGCAAAAAAAAAATAGAAGACGAAAGAGAAAAATGTAAAGACTGTTTACGTAATTAAGTTTATGAAAGATCACTTCAGAAATGGTGGTTGTTGACACTGTTGTTTTCTTTACCCCTGAAGGGTTATGCAACTGGTCGTATGACTCCTGAAAAAGGATCAATTACAGCCTTCTTTTTCATACAACACTAATCAAAATCTGTACAGTTGTAAATTATCGTGCACAACAGATTTTTAGACCACCAATTATTAAAATTTTACACATTAAAAAAAACAAAAACTAAATTGGGAACATCAAATTCACAAATCTGACTGTTAATAGAGCATCGAAATCACAGATCTGATTGGTGATATAAAGAGTTAAAGGACAGAATTCGAAAGCAACTTATCTTGTAATAATGTACGAGCTTAACATTTTGTTCATCGCCACCAATCATTGTATACTCATCATCTGTAACTTCTGGTGTGTTTTCTCTACGATAATTTGACCAGAACTCAACTGAAAACGCAGTCATGCCACATGATGAATTAATGTATTTCACGATTTATCAGCGCGTTTGAGTAAAAATACATACCATATAAAGTAAAATGTTGCATTTTGAACGTTCAAAAAGCCATACTGTTTAGAGAGGAATGTAAACTGCACATGCTTGCAATCGTTTACGTTTATATTTTATAAAAGGATACTGACTAGCAATTGGTCGGACTTGTCGTTCCAGTTCAGGGAAGTCTCGAAGCATCGCAAGTGTCCCATTTATACGAAGATCAATGTAACGTAGCTGATGAATAAGTATTGGCTCATACGTTTCTGCTTCGTCCTTAAAAATACTGTAATTATATATAAGCCTATCTTCAGTAAAATTATAGATTAGACAGCTACTACATATTCAGAAAGCCTTCATATGTTTTTCTTTATCACAAGCAACATCAATGATTTAACATCTGGCATGTAATATTGATAAAAAGCCATACGCGATCCGTACGAAGCAGATGTCGGAAACGATTGATCATATGAGTGCGATCTTTTTCTTCTGCGCGGATATATGTCTGAAATGACGATTACATAGGACAAAGCCAAATAAAAAACCTCCCAATACTAATTTTGTACAATACTATTTTATTTATTGATAAATGTTTGTATAACTCTTGTATGAAAGATGATGAGTAAACCTCTAATGTTTTAAGTACACTGTGCTTATTCGGTGTGCCAACTTGGACTGCTAACGCAGCGCGATAATCATGAGTTGCCTAGAACGATCGACTTTGCGATTAAACACTTATTCTATTGACATAAAACAAAGTCAGACACTCATCAATTTAAACTGATGTAATGGTGGTTAAAAAACGATTCAATCATTTCACTTCTCTTTTTTTCTCATTGAGATGTGCTTGTACCCGCTCTTCATGAACATCCTCCAATTGCTTTTTCTGCTCCTTATTTTCTTCTTCCAGTGAAGCAACCTAAATTGACGTGTTGTTAAAGGAACTTCCTAATTCACAAAACCAAATAGCTTCCTTCTCTTATCAATTAGCCAGTAGCATTGTTCGTGAAGCATAACAATAAGCAAACCGTTTTCTGGAATCGTGAAGACATTTCTTTCTTGAATGTTTCAGCACCTTTTTCGTCTGCTTTTTTCATTTTCTTGTAACGTGCTTCAAGATCAGACCATTCACGCATTACCTGTAAATATGATAAACGCTATAGAAGCAGCAAGTATCTACAAGTAAAATAGAATGGAAATCAACACCACGGTAATCAGTTATTTGCTTTATACTGTGGATCATCCAAAAAATTACAAAAACACCTTATTGATTTTAGCGCGATGTCTTTTTTCCAGGCGTTGCTGAGCTTCCTTGAAACGTTCATGTTCATTGACTGGATCAGATATTTTAAAATAAGGATCTTGGGAGACATTTTTAGAAAAAAGATTCCTTTCGTCGTCTAAAAAAATACATTCGTAGTAGAAAGATATTCCTCGCAAAGGAAAAAATAAGTTGAAAAATACCATCATCAGAATCTTCGGCATATTCACTCTCATCATCATCATAATCGTCAACTTCATCTTCGTCAGTTACCTCAATTTCTTTTTTCTCTGCACCTAAAAACAGAACTTATGTGGAACTCTTAATTTATGACAAATAAATACTTGACTGGCTCTGAAGTATAAAGCATGTAAGCTAAAAATGTTCCGTGAACATTTGTCTACAGTAATAAAATGTATATGAATGCATAATTTACCTTCAGTTTTCTCGTCACTTGGACAACAAACAAACTCAACTCCTGTGAAAAGATCTAATCCGCATGGCTCCAGAACAGCGAATGAACGCATCACCATTCGTTTTTCATTAACAACCTACAATATTCATTTTAAATCCATTAAAAACAATTGTTAATGACAAAAAATTTTACGGAACATTTTAAATGGTTGAATACTTACTAATCAATATGCTAACAACGGAATCAACGTTGATAACAAACAGGAACAAACCTTTGTTTTACATTGTTTGTACGCCGCATCTTTCCAGTGACCATAATCGTTGCATAACTGACGATCATTGATATGACCAAATCGACATCCATGAGGTACTTGAAGTGCTTCTGAGTGGAACTCTCCAACTAAATATATATACATATATGTTTCTATCAGCTTCCTCTTTATTAATATTGAATCTTAGGTAGAGGAATCAAATCGGTTGAAAATATAAAATTTAGGAAAATAAATGGTAGCTTTTACTCATATTAAGAACATTAGCGTACACAAATTATAATTAAAGGGAAATATTGCTATCACATATCTGAATTCTTACTTATGCACTGGTAAGGTCTGACAGTGTGAGTCCATTTACATGGTGAACCTTCTTCACGGCACCAACCAGGAATTTCCACTTCATGAGAATATTCTACTATATTCGTGGCATCCAGTTTAGGGTAAGCCTGTACAAGAATATATATGCATAAGTTCGTAATTCTTAAATGAAATATTGACAGAGTCAAAATCTTTTCAATTATTACTTTCTACACCAACTACAAACTGTTTTTGTCAGGTTTTACGACAGTAGAAATGTAACTGCAAAGCACAAATGCTGATTGCATCGATATTTAATTAGCAACAAAGTAATGCTAATCGTTCGTGGTATTTTACATGAATTTGCATATTAACTAAGAAATATCAACAAGAAACTAGCAATAACATTCAATGATTCTGATTTACACTCTCCATTTTTTGGCAGAGACTTGCCGGCATGAATTGAATTTTCTCAAAAAGAAAACGGTACTGATAGATGATTTAGATGCTACCCCTTGGGACAATAATTTACAAAAAAATTAAATGAAACGCAACAAAAACTTGTAAATATTGCAGTTTAACAAAACAATGAGAACAATGCATAATACGATAATCAATTGATTCATAAATTTCAAAACTAGGGCAAACAAATTTTTTTCATCAAGAAAGCTCCTGATATTTGAGGAAATAGGGACGATGTGGTGAAATTATAAAGAAAGTAGCGGTCATTGAATGCGGCACTAGCAAAATAATTGGGTACATTCTAAGATGCACAGAACCAGAAATGTACGAGAGTGACGATGCAATATTAAACTAATGAATCCAAGTTTATGAACACTAAATCTTTCTCTAAATATTGTAGAAGAGTGGCGAAGCACTAGCCATATTACACGCTCTTCATTAGTAAGATAAATTTAGGAGAGCTTGACAGATTAGTGCTTACGAGATAACATACAAGCTAAATGAAAAATCTACGCCAAATGATGAAAAAATTACAACACAACTATTGATCAGAATTAATGGGTACAGTAATGAGAAAGTAAATTACTATAATCATTTTTTGATGATATTAACTTTTTAATTAGCTAAAAAAAAGGAAAAAAAGGAATTTTGCGAAAAAATTGAGACCATAAATATTTAGAAGATCAATAACATTCTCAAAATATCTGATTTAATTGCTATTCATAAACATCTTAAATCATCAAGAAATAATACCATCCACTTCTTTCCTTCAGTTTAAATTGTTGTGAAGGACAATAAATCTATCTACCATTAACTTAACTTCCCAAGATCAATGACAAATTCTTTAGAGTGTTCCAAAATTTGAAATCTATTTTAAAAATAGAAGATCGTAAAACACTGTGAAAACAAATTTAACAAACTTTATAAAATAAATTGTACTTACTTTTCGGCAGTACTTCAAGATATCGAGCTTTCCACTAAGACATGTTGCAAGTGCACTGGGATCGCTCACCCATACGCCATTTTCACCCATAAATCTATTTCGGAAACCACATTCAAACGCGACTAGCGGAACAAACTTAGCATGCTTTTTGTCTTTTCGAGTATCTACATTCGCAGCGACATTCTGAAAAAAAAAAAAGAAATTGTGAGTATTCAAAGAAAAGAAAGAATGTATGATTAAACTGCTCTCACTTATTAATATAAAGTCGAAGTAGTAAGTCACAAATGATACATGAACAAATTAAAGAGAATAATTGATGCTCTTCGTTTGTTAATACAATAATATAGTCACGAACTACCCTATAAATACTTAATCCTGTTTCCTTCAAATAGTTTACATTTTCAATAATTAGCTATAAAATAGTGCTTCAAATACATCAAACTGAAAAGAGCATTGATTTCGAAAAAAACACTTCATCCAAAAGTGCAAAAAAATAATGAACAATGAAACAAAATCTCGAAGGACTTTGAATATACTGTCTACAGCAAACAACTGAAGGAAATTGCAATTATGGAACTTATAATGAATGATTATTTACTTAATATTTTCAACAACTTTCGTCAATTTAATCCCAAGATGCTAGAAAACGAATACCTCTCTCAAATTTATCACTGCTACTTATCACTTATAATAATAAGAATGACACATAAGAAAAATAATGACCGATCAGTTTCAATAGGATATGAAAATTATAAAATCAACATCTATGAAACTGAGCTGTAAATATTTCGCATATGTAGCATCGAAAGCATTCTCTATTCGGGAAACAAATTCAGAGTAAGATCGCATTTAAAACTGAAATGCAGCTGCACCAATTTCGTGATACGTTTGAAGGACTTCACTCATTACTATTAAGTTTTCTCATTTTTTAGACTGTGTAAGAGTGAAAGAGGAAGGGCAAAAGATGGGTTCAGTTGAGAAAAGCAAATAACAAAAATATGCAAGTTAGAACCGACGGATAGTCATAGTCATGTTCATTTAGACATTTACAATTAAAAAGAATAGACATTTGCTCAATTAGATCGTCATAAACTGCTACACATATTGTAGAGAGAGCTGACAGCTATGAAATATTCCTAATTTCATGTACAACTATTGTCGAAATAACTGACTGTGCCTGAATTTTCTTCATCTTTTGCAGTCAAAATCTTTCAAATGTGTGAAATCCATGCAGATCTGAACTGAAATTTGCATCGCATGTTACTTCCCTCATCAATCAAAAATCTGATCCAATGGGCAACATACACTTTAGAATAGAAAGATTATCTGAGCCCTCCAAGAACAAGTACCGTATAAGAGCAGATTATTCTCTGAACAATACACCGTCCAATATTCATGTTTCGCATTTCCAGCAGCAAATTTAATGAAGTAAACGAGAAAATACTCGATGGTTGATAGTCTGACCTGTTAGGCCACTATTATCATTATGAAACCATCTAACAGTATGAACAAAAAACATTACTGCTGTCAAGATATTTTCTGCAGTAGAGAGAAAAGAACTTCAATAAAACAAGGAAATTACTTTAAGCACTAACATACAAATCCATCTCAATCATTAATATGATAAATAGTTGAAGTACAAGATGCTCAGGATCATATTACTGATATGAATTCTATGACGATGAAAGCAAACCTCGATGTACATCGATAACGACAATTGCACGACCAACAAAAGAACCGTCATCAAACTACCCGCAGCCATCTTTCTGCAATATATTGAAATTTTTAGTTTTAATCGTGCGTTGTAATATAAAAACCACTTATACCGTCAAAATCGTTCTGTACAGCCACAAATTTATAGCAAATGCATAAACAGACATATTTATAACGTAGTGCATTCAAACCGAATGACTGTAAATTAAGAACGCGATAGACAGCAAAATTTAAGAATTAAAACTGAAGCAAAAAATGCAAAAATGATTTCCCAATAAAATTGATAATTGGAATCTTACAAATAATAGAATACAATAACATTGATCTTGTCGAAAGACTCTCCAACCAGAACATTTAAACACAATGATAGAAGTGAAGTAGAGTCCAAAAAGTGAATGCTAGCTGAAAGCGAGACAATGAAAATTTAACGGAAAGTTTGCAACTGTAATTGCTAGAATTAGTTCTACTTACTCAAATATACACATATATAAAGCTTATTTCCCCTGCATGCTACTATATTCAAACAGAACTAATGAATTAAACGCTTCATAATTTCCTGGTGGTCAACATTTAAAGAATTGAATTTCAACTGTCTACGCATGTTGAAATTAAATTTTAATAGATAGACAGGTCCAGCTGATTGCGGAGACAAGAGGAAAGGGCTGTTTGATTTGATAAACAATGAACAGTAAGTGAGTATGCCGGCTCTTAATGCACATTGCAAGGCAAGTCGCAGTAAGCAAGGAACTGATAAGGAATACGCTCTACGCAGACAAGCGACGGTGAGCAGAAGCAAGTTGAATTGGCAGAATGCTTTTTACTTTTTTTTTT